AATTGGGGGGTCCTGGGATTGGGGGGTCCTGGGGTCCTGGAATTGGGGGGTCCTGGGATTGGGGGGATCCTGGAATTGGGGGATCCTGGAATTGGGGGGTCCTGGGGTCCCGGAATTGGGGGGTCCTGGAATTGGGGGGTCCTGGGATCCTGGAATTGGGGGGTCGTGGAATTGGGGGATCCTGGAATTTTGGGGTCCTGGAATTGGGGGATCCTGGAATTGGGGGGTCCTGGAATTGGGGGGTCCTGGAATTGTGGGGTCCTGGAATAAGGAATATTATGGGATGCCGGAATTTGGGAATCCCAGATTTGCGGGATCCTGGAATTTGTGGAATCCCAGATTTGTGGGATGCTGGAATTTGGGAATCCCAGGTTTTTGGGATCCTGGAATTGTGGGATCCTGGAATTGTGGGATCCTGGAATTGTGGGATCCTGGAATTGTGGGATCGTACAAGTGGGGAGTCCTGAGAATCCTCCGGTCCCGGGAGCACGGGATCGTGGAATCAAAGAATCCCAGAATCCCGTGGGAATCCTGGATCTGGGGGATCCCGGCGGATCTGGGGGATCCCGGCGGATCTGTGATGTCTGGGAATCGTGGGATCCAGGAATTCTGGGATCCCTGAGCTGGGTAATTGTGGATTTAAGGAATCCTGGAATTCCAGGATCCACGGGATCGCAGAGCGACGGGATCCAGGGTTTTTTACGGATCCTGGATTTTTATGGGATCGCCGGATTGCGTTAAACTGGGAACAAAGCGGGGAATGCCCCTGGCAGAGCCCGGAATCCGCTCTGAGGATCCCAAATCCCGGCTAAATCCACCTGGACGGGAAAAACCCCGGTTAAATCGGCCGCTTCCTCCGGGATCCGGCGCCTCCTGCCAGGAAATCCCATCTGGGATCCCGCGGATCCCGTCTGGGATCCCGTGGATCCCGTGGATCCCGGGGCTCCGGGCTTACCCTCGGCATCCAGCATCTTGGGAATGTCCAGGAACTTCTCGGCCACCTCGAAGGCGTTGTTGAGGTTGGTGACGGGGTCGTCCTGCGGGAGAGGAGAGGCTCCGTGGGCTGGGAATTCCCGGAATTCCCGGAATTCCCGTGGGGAAGGCGGGGATTTACCTTCCGGAGCTTGTCGTACTCGATCAGCTCCGGGCGGTGCCGGTGGATGAGGGCGTTGAAGGCCAGCCCGTCCTTCCAGCTGTGGGAAAATGGGATCAGATCCCGGGGAATCCACGGGGAAAACCGGGATCGGATCCCGGGGAATCCACGGGGGAAACCAGGATCGGATCCCGGGGAATCCACGGGGAAAACCGGGATCGGATCCCAGGGAAAACCAGGATCGGATCCCAGGGAATCCACGGGGAAAACCAGGATCAGATCCCGGGGAATCCACAGAGGAAACGGGGATCGGATCCCGGGGAATCCACAGAGGAAACGGGGATCGGATCCCGGGGAATCCACGGGGAAAACCGGGATCGGATCCCGGGGAATCCATGGGGGAAACCGGGATCGGATCCCAGGGAATCCACGGGGAATCTGGGAGGAAGAGGAGGAAGAAGAGGAAGAGGAGGAGGAGGAGGAAGAGGAGGAAGAAGAGGGGGAGAAGGAAGGAAGAGAAAGAGGAGGAAGGAGGAGGAAGAGGAGGAGGAGGAAGGAGAAGGAAGGAGAAGGAAGGGGAGGAAGGATGAAGGAGGAAGAAGGAGGATGAAGGAGGAAGACA